GCGGGGCTCAAACCCACGAACCGCGAGATCATGACCTAAGTGAAAGTCGGACGCTTAACCGACTAAGCCACCCAGGCGCCCCTGTTTATTTATTTTTGAGACAGAGAGAGACAGAGCACGAGTGGGGAAGGGGCAGAGAGCGAGGGAGACACAGATCTGAAACAGGCTCCAGGCTTTGAGCTGTCAGCACAGAACCTGATTTGGGGCTCAAACCCATGAACCGTGAGATCATGACCTGAGCTGAAGTCGGACCCTTAACCGACTGAGCCCCACCTATGTTTATTTATTTTTGAAAGAGAGAAACAGAGAGAGAGAGAGAGAGAGAGAGAGAGAGCTAGCACAAGCCAGGGAGGGGCAGAGACAAAGGGAGACAGAATCGGAAGCAGGCTCCAGGCTCTGCACTGTCAGCACAGAGCCCGACGCATGGCTCAAACTCACCAGCCCTGAGATCATGACCTAAGCTGAAGTCTGACCCTTCATTGACTAAGCCACCCAGGCACCCTTTAAGTAACTTAATTTTAAGTTAATTATAGATTCACAGGAAGTTATAATCATAGTAACAAGAATGTCCCTTGTACCGTTTACTTAGTTTACCCCATTTGTTAACATCTTACATATGATGCAATGTAAGAACGAGGAAATAGACATCAATAGAAAATATGTGTATAGCTTTCATTGAAAGACATCTTGAAAGTGTTATGGTGTATTATAGATATATTTCAGAAATGAGATAGTATTGAAATCTTGACAAGGATTGTTTTCTTTACACACTTAGGATTCACATTGACAATACAACTTAACAGTGTAACTTTGGGTAGGTATATTTCACTTCTACAGAAACCTACTTTCCTGACTTGTAAAAGAAGGATAATAATGTGGACTTCACAAGGTTTTGAAGAGCAAATGAAATAATGTATTAGTATATGAAGGCCTTACCTAACACAGATAGGCATGTGAAAAATGTTAACTGTTGTTATTCATTATTGAGCTCACTAAAAAGTTAAGAATATTCTGTAAGAGGGAAATTAGGAGGAGGAAAAACGTAGCATGAGCCCACTTACATATATTTTAATGTATGTACAAAATTATTTCCACATCTACAGAGAAAGAATGAAAGGACATACATCAAGTTGGTAAGAGTGATTTTCTTTGCAGGAGTGTAGGGATTGGAAAGAATTGAGACATGGTAAGGAGAGAGAAGTTACTGTTCTAAACTTTGTATTTTAAAATGTTTAAAGCAAGCATAGTCTATACTTTATCAAAACAGCATCAAATAACAGTTCAATGCTTAGAGACTTCCAGCAATGGCAGTCTTCATGATTTGATCTAGATCTCCTATTGATAGCAACTAGATATACTGGACAAATTTTTAAAAATATATTAGCTGATTCCAAATAGCTAACAAGGAATGAAGAATTACCGTGCCAAGATTTAGAAGAGAAGGAAAACTCACAGGGGTAAGCCTACCATTTCCCCCTTGAGGTATTTGTCTATTCCTAAAGCCTATGTGATTAGCAAAGCCGACTTTGGTAGACAAAAATTGGAGTTCAAAGCCTGTCAAGGTATAGAGGTCATGGTAAACACCTAGGTTTTTGTTCGGGACCCAGAGGACCACAACTCAGAAGTAAGAATGAACCAAAAACAGACCTCTTCTTACAAGGACTAACAGCAAGTTTTGCATCATCTCAGTTAACAAGTGGAATAAGGCAGTTGATGAGGAGAACAAAGGAAAGAGAAATGTAGCTAAATTATAACTTGAAGCCCACTGTTTACCTGAGACACGAAGAGTGTGACATTCCTCAAGGAACTCGTGGCTGCTTTAATGTTGATGTTTTATTACAGACTAAAAGCAACCTTATCTTAACAATAGCTAGTAGCCCTCTAAGGTCTTGAAGACCTTGCTTTCAACATGCACAAATTCCTTAGGGACTTCTGTTACCCGCCCCCCCCCCCAAGCCCCCATGAACTAGAAAGAATATAAGCATTCACTCTTCTTAATCCCAGTGCAGCTCTTTCT